AGTTAATCGGAAAAAGCTCATGAAACGACCGCGTTTGAAAGCGTGAGATGAGGGTTTTTAGAGCGGGAACAGTTGTGTTGTGGCCTGTGAGGTGTTGCTGGATCTGGCCGCATTGAAAATATACTGTACGAGCCAGTGCGTCGTTACTTTTCAGTTACCTGCCATTGTCTCCAGTGGAAATAGAATCGAGTCAAAATCTAGCAGACAGATCGTCAAACCTTTATTAGAGGGTCTTTAACTCACCAGGCGCAATGAATGCTCTGACCTCACAGCTCCTGGGACACTTCTTCAAGGCAATGTTTTCTCTGGGATTCTGGTGTTGTGTTTCAACAACAGATTCTTAAATTCTCTATAAATTTCGCATTGGATGTAGCGCCTTGTGCTTCTGCCACGATCTTCGCCAGGAATAAGCCGTTTCCTGCTGAATGGATGGTTTACACATCGCCACCTCTCAAGTTGGAGTGGCAGCCCACTGAAGCTCAGCGGGTGTGAGCCTCGTCAGTTCCTGGATAGGAGAGCCTCCTGGGAAAAACTAAGGTTGCTGCTGGAAGGGGTGTTAATGGATCAGTAGGGGGCGCTCACGCTGCGGTCTGTGTGGATCCTAATGCCCCAGTATAGTGACAGGGATACTATACTGTAAAAAAGGTGCTGTCCTTCGGATGAGATGTAAAGGTCCTGACTTTCTGTGGTCATTAAAAATCCCTGGGCGTTTCACAGAAAGAATAGGAGTGTTACCTCGGTCTCCTGGCCAAATTTCCCTTTGGACTTCACCAATCATGGCCTCCTAATAATCCTCATCTCTAAATTGGTTTCATCACTCTTCTCCTCCCCACTGATAGCTGATGTGTCGCATCATCCAGGTGGTGCTGCACACTGGTGGTGGTGGAGGGGAATCCCCATCGCCTGTAAAGCGCCTTATTATGTAAATATTAATTATTAATTATTATTGGGTGCATTTTATTTCAACACTGTAATGACAATTTTTGTCCACACGATGGCAGCATAGTCCAATCAAAGAAAAACGGCTCAAATTTTATTCAATAGTTTATCCCGTTTATTTGACAATAACCCAAACTCAGGAAAGTTGTCTACTGTCCAGAAATATCCCGGCTCTCCAAGAGCTGAGTCTAAGACACCTGATCTAGACCATGGTCTCTGGAGCTGGAGGCTGGAGTAAAGTATCAGGCGTATCCCTGCTACAGGGGGAACCCAGTGCCTGCTGGTCTTTACTTCTGTTCATGCCCGTCCTCACAAGGGTGTAATTAAGTTTGTGGGTTGATAATGGGTATACTCTGTGCTCCTGTTGGGGGGGGGACTAGGTTTTTTTTAATGTTTTCTAAAACCCCAAAAAGACTATCAATCCTGTAGGTTTCACACACCGATTTACAGCATTGTCCTGGTCTGTTAACAGGTCCCTGTTGTTTTTAGGCACCCAGGCATTCCGCAAAGGCATGCCTGAAACCCCAGAAAGCATCAAAACAAGCGTGCCACCCCATCTGTGGAGGGTGTTTGAGGACATGTAGAGATCATAATACTCCTATATCTGTTCATTTCTAAAACTAACAATTTTCAGGGAAATGAAAAGATGTAGACAGAATAAAAGTCAGTTGTGGTTCAGGTTCTGGTAGAGGAGCGTCTCTCTCCTGGCCTCCCTGTCGTTGTGGCTGCAGGTGAGCCCATTCCCTGAGCGCTGATCCTCGGGGTGACCCCTGTTGTGTGGCAGCTGTGGGGTGTCCGTGGGGCCAGCCCGGAGAACCAGGAAGCTTCTGGACGGAGTTTCTGTCCTGCTTGTCCATATCCTGCTCACCCCGGGTCACCCCCCCGCAAAGCCCTACACCCACGGGCTCCCTCTCCGGGGGGGTACCCCACTGATCATCGGAGCGACAGTCCTCCTCCTCGGGATTCCGGCTTCTCAGGGTGTGACCGCTGGGCCCAGCAGGCCTCCCAAGTGGTCCAGCTGGTAACGTACCCCAGGGTCCCTGTGAGCTGTAGGTCGCAGGTTTGAGCCTCGGTCCTGTCGCTCGCCTGTGATGGCGAAGGTGTCCTCCCGGGATCCTCCTCCCGGGATCCAGATCAGCCGCCCGGGTCTCTCTCTCCACTCAATGAGAAGCGATCGGCGCAGGGACACGCGCAGGTGTCCAGCCATCAGCGCCAGGGCTGACGAATACTCAGGATTCCTGTAAACGCGGAGCCGAAGGTCTCGTCCCTTGTGCATGCCGACCGGGATGGGCCTGGCTGAGAGATCAGGAAGGTGAAGGTGGGGGCTGGAGAGCGAAGGGGACAGAGGACATAAGTGATCACGGCGTCCAGCAGCCGACCGTACTGACCGGAGGCCTGAGATCCTGAGCTGAACGGGGCCCTTGTGCCGCGCAGGGGCTGCACCGGGCAGGGGGGGCATCAGGGAGGACAGACGAAGGACAGGAACATGTCCACCTCGTTGCGGATCACGGTGGGGGGCGGGTGGATGTTGTCCGGGGAGGATTGGCAAGAGGTCATCTGCCAGACGTCTAGGAGGACGACGGGGAGGCCCTGGAACATCCTCCGGAGCAGCACGTCCAGCTGCAGGGACAGCCAGTCGCTGCCGTACACGTCCTTGTAGCCCGTGTTGGCCGACTTGATGACCACGAGGGTGCTGGGGCTGCGGTGCAGGAGCGAGACCACGGCCCGGCGCACGGAGGCCACCCGGCGGACGAGCTGCTCAGGCGGGAAGGTGGTGAAGTGCGCCCAGAGGGTGAAGACCACCACGGTGTGGGCGCCCCCCGCCAGCCCGTCCAGCTCGTTGGCGATGTAGTGCAGGCTGACCCATGGCACCTTGAGGGTCCGGATGGGCAGGCCGTGGGCCCGCCAGTGCAGCACCACGTTGTTACCGGGGTCCACCGCCATCAGGGGCCCCGACTGGGAGGAGGTGTGCAGGTCCAGCTGCTTCAGAGCTGGGAGAGGAACAGCAGGGGGCGACAGTGAGAGGCGCCGGGCAAGCCAGCGGGCTTGTCTCTGGGAGAGAAAGAGGAACACCCAGAGAGCAGGCCTGGAGAGAACATGCAGATTCCGCACAGAAGGTGCTCCAGCCCAGAATCAAGGCCCAGGGCCAATGTTCACTCTAATTTATAATGGCCTGTGTGTGCAAAAAATTCAAGTTTTTCAAATTTTCATTTTTTTTCCCCCCGTGACAAAAACTTGTGCGCACTAAATTGAGTGTAAGTAAAATTGTAAACCTGAAATTATTTTTTGTCAATATAGTCACTCTCATAGAAGCATAGAGATCCAAAAGACCGGAACGGCAATTCAACGAGCCCAGTCGTGGAGACCGAGTGTGGAGCAAGCATGAGCAGGGAGGTACTAGAGCACAGATATCGATGATCAAGTAGCAATAATAATGCACACAGCCAACTTTCCTATGTGCGCTGATCTCGTAACCTGTGTGGGAACATTGCCCAGGATCAAAGAGCAGTGAGGTGGCAGTGCTACCTGACTCACCACCATCTCGCCCTCAAGATTAGCTGAAAACAACACGGCTGGTATTTCAGCAGATCCCTGCAGAACTAACAAGCTGCGCCCTTTCGAGAGGAAGCACACAGACGGGTCTTACTGGGCACAGTTTTCTCCAGGTACTCGAACCACTGGCGCAGCGTGGAGTCGCCCATCATGTACAGCTGTTTGTTGCGCAGGCAGCTTGATATCTGCTCAGGGTTGGGGAAGCTCCACGTGGCACAGACCAGGGAGGTCCAGCGGTCCTGGAAATAGAACCCAGCTGGAACCGGAGTGTCCAGTCCAGGAACGCATCTCTGCTCCGTTCCTGGAGAGCAAACCCAAAACAGAGTCCAGCAAAATCATATTAATCCCCTCCCTGTGGGCACAATTCATCACAGCTAGGACAGAGGGCTACCGGTACAGTGCACAGCATTGTGGGATAGAAGCTACTGAGCATCGCTTCAGGGCACATGGGAAGATCTTACTGCGTGAGCGTTTTCCCCAGCCCTGCCACACGAGACCAGAACCCTGGTTGTGTACGAATACTGCTGCAGATCATGGTGAAGTCTGTTGTGCTTTGGCTGTTTCATTTGTATGTGTCCTGAGTTATGGTTCAGCCTAACCTCCTCTCTCTGTGGGGACTAGAGTCAGAGACAAAGAGGGGGTTGCAGCTCCACAGGCAGAGGCTAAAAGAAAAACCAGCGTCAGCTGGGGCTCCTGAGCGGCCTAACGAGAGTGCGGGTCAGGATCTGCGACCCAGATGCATCATCGCCGGCCTGCCATCACCAGGAATCTCACTGCAATCTCCCAGCCTGCAGTAGTGTCAGCGAGGGGTGCACCAGGCCCGCAATCTGTCCTTCCTCTCCCAGCAGGTGCTACCAAGTTCTCATGACACGTCTGATGCCAAACAGCTCTGGTCGGGTAGGTGTGAGGGGGCATGGGGGCGTGTCAAACGTCACACAGTTGGTGTGGGCGGAGCCTGTCAGAGAGCCCCCCCTTTAAGACATCAGGGAGCTCCCCGCTTGGTGGCGGCAGATTAAGAACACTGGCAATTTCAGATTTTTCTAAGCGGCAGAAATGGGCAAGCAGGCACAAAGAGGCAGAGAAGGGAGGGCAAGAGAGAGGAGCGGCACCGGCGCTGCACACAGAACACCCACGGTTCTCTGCTTCAGGTGGAAGAACAGTGATTTTCACGTCGTCTCCTCGTATCCAAATGTCCGTCACCTTTCTGCAGGAAGAGGGAGATGGACATGGAAGCGAAAGCTAATTCAGTAGGTAAATGAGGACTTTGTCGTTTCTACCCACTGTTATACTGCTTCTTCTCTCAGTGTGTTACCATGTGTAACATTAAAATAATCCTGCGCCACAGGACCCCGGCTCCTGCTCATTCAAGCTGTCATTTCCTCTCTGTGCTAATGTAGGAAACGAACTGCATCAGAGACCCGAAGCTCTGTAAAGCTAGGATGGGACAGCGGGGGTCCCAGTGGGGATCTTACTTGCTCAGGAGGGCCTGCTCCAGGCTGCTGAGCTTCGCCTGGTAGCCGCCCATGCTGTGATACACCAGCGCGTGGCAGGGCAGCCGGGCCGGCTTCTGGCAAAACCACATCTCCCCCGTGGCAGGATCCCTGTACTCGCAGTAGGGGGCGCTCCCAATCTTTTGGGCGTTGCACACCACGGCCTCCTCCATGCCCCCCTCCACGTAGTATCCCCGAAAATACACCCTGTTGGGGTCGCGATCCCTCTGCCCGCGCAGAACCTGCACGGCTTCGCTGGAGTGGATCAGGCGCAGGGCGATCCGGGCCGGGCCGGGCCACAGCAGGGTGAACCGGACTGTGTAGCTCCCGTTGCGGTGATCCGACACCGAGCCGTACGTGCTGGCCCGGAGCTCGGGGGAGTGCAGCTTGGCCTGAAAGAAGTCACCCCCGTAGCGCTTGGGCCTGCCAGAGAAATCCCTGGCCACCAGCGCAACCTCCAGGCTGTCCCCGACCGTGTAGTTGGCCCGGAGGCCCGGCACGTGGTAGGAGCACCGGGCTGGGTCAGTGCTGTCGTTCAGGGACGGGACGGCCCGGTCTGGAGAGGGCCAGCTGATGGCTTCTCGTAGTCTCTCCCATTCCTCCGGGCTGAGCAGGGTATCGCGGTCGGCAGTCCGGGTGGGGACAGCCGCAGTCTGGGTCAGAGTGAACCGGTTCCCTCTCTGCAGAGCCTGGCCCTGGAGGCTGAGTGGGATTGACAGACTCGGTTGTTTCCTCTTGAACGGCTGTGCCACCTTCCCCCAATAATACAGGTAAGCCTTGATAAGACATAAGACACAGCAGAACAGCAACAAGAGAAGATCATGTGAGCTGCACAGTCTCCTTGCTCCTGTACTGCTTTAGGGCTGTGAGTGAACTGATTGGTGAGACACCACTAAGGCAGATGTTAGATCAGTATAAATATCATGAACATCTCCTTCTTGATGGCCGGTGTTACAGCTGGTGTGACACCAGAAGAAGGCTCCACGGCCGAAACGGTGTGTTTTCTTTCTTCTTTTTTTCAGCATGGAATAAACCTATTACTTGTTCCTTTAAAGTTTCTTAGTATGCCTAGGCACGTTGAGAATTAATGATTGCAAAGGAGTAGGGCAGAAAGACACAATATGAGAACACATTAAGAGCACAGGGGAAATTCCAGAGGAGTTGGGACTTCTGCCAGGCACAAACTTGTGACTTCAAACCTTGTTAGAGAGAGCGTGCTTTTCTGTGTTTTTAGGGAACGTGGGTTTCCTGGTACCTCAGTTAGAAACGTCTTTCCTGATTAGTCATTTTATGGATAGGGATATAGGCTCTTGTTTATTTTGTGGCATCCTGGGTGCAGAAAGAGAGATTTACAGTAACTGCAGGTTACCTTTTATTTAGTTAGAAGGCAGCTCATCTCTTGTGTGGCTTCTGTAGGCAAATTAAGAGTTTAGTGCTTAGTAGCAGTCTGGGGTTTTCTGGGTGACCAGAATGTTAGGCCTCTGAAATGCCTGGTCTGTAAATACTGTATATAAAATAAACATGTTCAGCCCCAATTGTAACAATATAATGTAACTTGGTGTGTTGTATGTTTTGTATCTTGTGTAGTTTATGGTAATAAATATTTGTGTTAGCCAAGTGTGCCTAGATTATTACTCTTCTCTGTGCTGGAGAAAAAAAGGATTCACGTGCCTCTAATTATACTCGGGTGTAGAAATCATTTACAAGTCGGGGGTTATGAATTATTTCACTGATTGATAAAACTGTTCGGGCAATTCCCGATTTTCACCAGTTCTGTTATCCCCCATTTGTAGGAGCTGGTTAGGCTAGACACTGGTAAGGCACATGTTAGATCAGTATAAATATCATCATGAACACCTCCTTCTTGATGGCTGGCTAGGTGCTTCCTCTGCTCTTCACAGTGGAAAGACGTAGTTTTAAGAACATAAAAAGGTTACGAATGACAGGAGGTCATTTCAGCGATCAAACCCATTTGGTAGTTTGAGGTTAATAGATCTGAGGATCATATCCAGCCCATTCTTGAACATGACTGGGCCGCTTGTTCCACACTCCCACCACCCTTTGGGTAAAGAAGCGCTCCCTGTTATGATGTGAACTACTCCCTAGTGATGTGTACTGCTACTTTATTACCACCTTAACATAACATACTTAACATAACTCCTTTACTTTGCTTGCCTTGTTTTTAATATTCTGTCTATCTGAGCTCAAGGGCAAATGCACAACATAATACACTGCTTGTCATACAGGGGTGCTATTCATCCACTATTAACAAGCCTCTTATTTTGTATCTGTTCACATCCTGCCTTTTCCTTATTACAAATGTGCAAGTCAGGATTTAGAGATGCAGTTAGGGTTCACAAAACCCAGGCTGAATCTTTTAACTGTCAAAGGATATGTCACACGATTTGAGACCTCACCCTGAGATCAGAGCTCATTTTGAGCCACTGGTCCGCATTGTGCGGACTTCACAAGCCACGAGGATGAGGACAGTTCCAGGATGTTCAAGTTCCCTGAGAAATGTACTGTACTTCAGAGATCCCAGGAGGTTTGTCTGTGAGCGGTTCTGTGCCACTAGAGATGCCGACATACAACACGAGGAGATTTCACTCCCTGGTTCGGGGGGAACAGCATCCCTGCTATTGGGCCAATGGCCTCAGAACGAGCCAATGAGCTGCCGAGACGCGAAGACGTAAAGACGGGAGCGGACATACGGAGCACAGGGGAATGTTTGGAGAAGGGATAACGTTGAGCTTTGATCTTGTCCTGTCGTGATAAACATTGGCGATCAAACAGTTCTAGGCTGCCTTATGGGGGCTATTTGCTTTACCGTTGTGTCTGACTCGGTTACTGTCATTTTTATTTGCTTTGGCAACACTGATTGTGCCCATCGGTCATGCTAATAAAGCACCTTGAATTGAATTGAATTGAATTACTGTTCTTTGGTGGCTGTGAACCAGGAACAGCGCCCGAGCGTTCCTGGCACCTTGTGACCCGGACTTTGCAACTAGCTGGTACTGAGCCCTGCAGCTGGAGAATGAATAACCTGCAAAAATGCGTCTCGTATACTTACAAAACTCAGGATCGCCAAGATCGACAGAATGCACACTCTCTTCATTTTTTCTTCTTTTCTTCCTATGAAATAGAAATGATAGCAGACGATTTTTTTTAAAAAGCGTTATTAAAGTGCAAAAATTCATCCCGAATATTTCGTTTCCCCCCTCTCCCCCCCAAACTTACACAGGTAACGGTACAGAAAGGTTACCGTATTGCTACAGGACTGCAATGCCTTCGACTTTGTGGCTGTACAAGTTTCAGGATCTTTACCACGCTTTAAAAAAAAGGGCACTAGAAAAAGAAAAGTTTGATACAGTAAGTCCGAATACCCTTCACGGCTTATAATGGATAAAGATGTTCAGTGGGGATACAAAAGGGTATTTAAAGGGTGAATCGGAGTTTTATTCAACAGCCCAATAAAATAGAGTAGCCAATTGGAAAACACTTCAAATGTTTGTTGATAAACAAAGAGCCGGCAATGTCGAGAATTCATCTCAATGTGCGTTATTATTCTGGTTAAAACACATCTAACACAGTGCCTGAGGCTTTTTACTGTATATATTGTGTGTGCCGCAACTAGGAGTATACGACAGTAATTAATTTATTATATGTATTACTATATTTATTATACACGTGTAAATAAATTAATTACTGCGAAAATAATTTACTTCGTACACTGTGCAGAGTGCCGTATACTCCTAGTTGCGGCACACACGATATATACAGTAAAAAGCCTCAGGCACTGTGTTAGATATGTTTTCGACGTTATATATGCGTTGTTGTCGATTTTACGGTTGCAATTCGATGTTGATTATACGTTGTGGCGACGTATATACACGTATAGCCGTATTTTCTCTGTGAATATACGTATATTCGACGAATCAATGCCCACAGCTTGGCATACAAGGGTTTTGCGGAGGGGGTCTTGCCACCTGCCTGAAAAAAACAGTAAAATGCTTGAGTGCCTATAGAGTTTCTATTTTTATTTTCTTGAGAAAAGTTGATACCATTTCCTGGACACCCCGTCCCCCATCA